AGGAAAATAGCACATGTCCTCTATCATACAGCCCTGAATTCACTGAAGCCAACAGAAAGTTCCACTTCACTGGCTTTCCACTTGGCTCTTTATATCCTAGGGAACAACACAGCTGCAGAGAACTAACAAATGTCCTCAAACTTTCTTTTTGGGTTGGAATTTTGGTAATCTCAACAGTAAGCAGAACAGCTAATTACAGTGCTTTGCCCATGGCAGGAAAACATCTGCCATAACAGTCTCTAGGAAAAGTCCTGTTTTCCCAGCAGCCTGTTCTAAGGGCTGGGATCCAACCAAGTCAGTGGGAATTTCCCAATGGAAACTGGATCATGGTCTTCATACATCCCCATCTCTACAAAGGCAAGTATTTTACAGGGCTCATAAACAGGTATGCTGAGTGCAGTTCTGAGAAGGGTAAAGCATCTTCTGTTGACTTCAGTGGCACATCTACCTAGAAAATGAGAAAGGCAGCACTTTGTTGTTCATGCGTGTCCCTGTTTACTGCTGTGACACACACCTGAGCATTCGCCAAGCTTTCCTGGTGGGCACTGGCAGATGAATGGTCTCCGGTTTGCTTCATACCCCACACACTGCATGTCCCCTGGACACGGCTTCTCCAGACAGGGATCATTAGAGCCTGGGCAGAGTCCTCCTGCAATAAGTTAAAACACTGTCAAGGGTACAGTGTAAAGCATGATCTTCAGTAATACGAGAGTAATGAAAGACAATTCTTGATCTCTCATTTCAGTACAAAGAAAGAATGGCTTAATGACAATGACAAAAAACAGCCCTTCATGGAAGAGATGTCCTCTGGACAAGCAAAAAAGCAAAACAGTTATAGTTTTTCTTCAAAGGCTGTCTTAAAAGCCATGGGAATGTATTATAAAAACTATTATGAGCAATAGCTGGTTTGTAATTGGCGTTGTGTCTCTCAAGCCAGTCATTTTCTTGCAAAGTCCCCAGTGCAGGGAATTTCAGGATATGATAAAACAAGTGACATGAAGCCACACACTCCTTGTGCCCCAGCACACCTGTGAGAAACAAATTTATGGAGGCTGAGTTCCCAAAGAGACAAAATAAGAAAAAGTCATTAGTGGGTGGACTTTTAATCCTCCTCCTGCACAGGACCCGCTGCCAGCCTGATTGTACAGCACAGACAAATCTGCCTGTCCCCATCTTACTCCTCACATTTCTGAGATCTCACATCCCATTGTACACCTTGCCAGGCTCCCAAAACCTATCCTCCTTTCTTCTGGATTTCTGGTTTTGGCTACATGAGTCTCATTGCATATGGAACTTCGTGTGTTCAGAGAAAAAGAAAAAAAATAGGAAAAAAATAGTGCAATATCAACATTACCTAAAAGAAGAAAGAAGCAGCTTAATATTCTAAGTAGCTAGTACTAATTTATAATAATAAATTGGGCAAAACACCCATGTCCTTTTTACTTGGGGAAGAACACAATTTGGATAAAATTATTTTGAATGCTAATGTCAACTCTTTCCTAAAAAATATTTCATTAGTATGGAATCTATTCTTGCCCCGGAACACGTGAATACAAAACTACTACTAATTTCACAAGGGAAGTAATCTGAAGGGAGGGATGAATAGAATCATAGAATCATAGAACTATTCAGGTTGGAAAAGACCCTTGGGATCACCGAGTCCAACCATCATCCCTACTCTACAAAGTTCTCCATCCAAATGGCCCTTAAACACACCCAGGGATAGTGACTCAACCACCTCCCTGGGCAGTCTATTCCAGTGTCTAATCACTCTTTCTGTGAAATTTTTTTTCCTAATGTCCAGTCTAAACCTCCCCTGTTGCAGCTTGAAGCCATTCCCTCTTGTTCTGTCATTGAGTTTTAAATACTGAGTTTTAAATTTGCTGAAAATACTTATGTGACACAATTACACTAAGGTTCTTCAAAATGCCTTAAATTCTTAGCATCTACCAAGGTTAGCATGTCAAGGGCTTACTTTAAAGCCTGTCAATGCCAAAGAAAGCTCTTGCATTCCATGAGCTTTGGCTAAACTATTATATACCTTAAATAAGTGTCTAAATACATCTGATGTGATTGCCTTGACCTTAAAAGATTTGCCAACACTATCTACCATAATGCAAACCATGCTACAACCATTGCTGCTTAATACATGAATTCTCAGGAATACCTGACTTTCACAACAGTTGGCATTTTCTTGATTGCAATAACGAACCTGGCAGATGCAGGGTCACCTTCTACCTTTGGGTATCTGTGTGTGGTTGAAGAAAGAAAGTAGTCTTTAAGTGCAGAAAAAAGGCACTCCTGCCTTTTTTTTCAGTCAGAGGGTGAACAGAGGGAGAGCCAGTGGCTAGGAAAGGACAAGCATCCCTTGTTTTGCTTATCAAATACATTTACTTAATACATGCAGGTGATGATTTTAACAACAAAAAGCCAGCACCTTCTTACCCATCACTTTCCTAATATTGGCAGTTTTGTTTATCGCAGCACCCTTATTGTATTAAAAAATACTTTATTTTTTGAGCATATGTCTTTTACTTAAAATTTATAACAGAAGAAATCAACCTGTCATAGGGTCTATCTCCAAAAGTAATGCAAGAAAGATTCTTATTGCTCTCACATTTTCGTATAAGCCAAGAAGGGCCCAGAGTAAGCACAGCTGAAATTGCCTGGCACTGTAAGTATTTTCTGGAAAAAGAAAAATTACTGCTGTAGGTTTCAAAATGGACATGGGCTGACTACAAATATGGCAATGACTGTAAATGTCTTGCTTGATGTACAGCACAGTCAATTTAATCTTTAACATCCTCCCCTCCTTTGTCAAACATTTCTTTGAGAGGTGTATGCAGTAAACGATTTATAGTACTGCTTGTAGCACTGTTAGAAAATGATGCATGGCAATCTTTATTAATCACTTTAGTAGGTAACAGGAGTAACAGCTGCAATATGCAGTCAGACTTTAAGTCTTCTAGAATCAAAAGACAAATGTCATGTTACAGGGTTAGCACTGCAGAACTATATTCTGTGTAAATGCAAAGTCTGCAGAATTTAACAGAGAATACGATGCTTTCTATAGCTTTTTTTTTTTTTAGGCAAAAAACCAACAACCTCATTCTTTGGAATTCAATGGCAAGTAACAGTTTTTTTCTGAAATTATAACACGTGGTTCAATATCCTCAGGCTGCCTTGTATTTTCTAGTTGGTTCTTTTGGCTATTTTAATTCATTCTTATGTGACAAACACAGCATTCTGCTGTATGCAGAATATATCTCTTTGAACACACTTAAAGCTTTTGTGAGGCTGTAATTAAGGTGAGCCTCTGCATAGCAGAAAGATAAGGCACCTGGAGAAAATCCCCACAGCTTCCCAGTGTGCAGCAGAAGGGGGCACTGAGATTTCCAAATCATAGAATCATAGAATGGTTTTGGTTGGAAGAGATCTTCAAGATCACCTGGTTCCAAGCCCCCTGCATGGGCTGGGTTACCTCCCACCAGACCAGGTTGCTCAAGGCCCCATAGAACACTTGAACACTTCCAGGGAAGGGCCATCCACCAATTCCTTGGGCAGCCTGTGTCAGCGTCTCACTACCCTCCAATTTTGCTTGCAAATTTTCACATGCCCTAAACTACGACTATATCTTTGACATGAAGCAATAGAGCAATTTGTTATCCATCTCTGCCAGTTTTTTAGCTGATTTTTACTCTGATGTGTACTTCAGTCATCCTTCCACAGTCAAAAAATACATGGAAAGGATCTAACGTATTTAGTGCAGCTGTGGAAATACACTGAAGAACTGCTTATCCTCATAGATGAACAGCAGGTCTTCTGGTAAACTAGAAGGAAATCAACTTTTTATTCATCCTGCTGCAGCAGGATTTAATAGCTGTCACAAAAGTTTTTAAATATTCAGACTTGGGAGAAGAAATGCTTTACGCCTGTCTGTATGGTTATGAGTACATAAGCTACAAATCTGCATTATTACATTGCCCTAGCTAACATGCATTTTAAGGCTGATTTCACAACTCTGTGGGGCAAAATTGTGAAATCATTCAAGTTTACATTGTCCACATCAAAGATTTACAGCCGAGTTTAAATAAAATTATTCTAATGTTGCATTTCCTCTCCAGAGAATAGTCTGTTTACCATCCACTAAGAGATTTGAGAAATATGGATTTGAATTGATCTCTCTTTTTTTTTTTTTTTTTTTTTTTCTGTAGGCAGGTCCAGGCAAACCCCATGGCATTCCCTTGAAACTCACACTGGTATTAATAAAGCTGTTCTCTACAAGGTGTCATAGAGACACATGAGCTAGTGTCAAGCAGTGCATGGCAGGAAAAGGTGGAATAGACGCACTTGATTTTGACAGATCACCTTCAGTTTAATTCTCTAAAAGGAGGCAAAAGTATTGCAATCTCCCTACTAGTATCCTGAGGAAGAAAACATTCTTCCACTACAAATTGAGACATTTATTTAATTCCTGTCCATCCAAAGAAGGATCACTTCCAGGAATGTAAATTTGAAAATTGAGTGCTTCAATAACTATAACTTGATCCTTGCAATATTCAGTGTTTTTCTGTAAGCCCATTCTCATGAATCTGTATAAAAATAAAAAAAAGGAGTCTCTCTCAGTTGCAGAAAAAAGCTTGAAAAGTGACTCCTGAAAGTCAAAGTCCCAGAAAGCAAATAAAGCAAAGCTCTGAGTTGTCACCTTTAAAACAGTGTAATAATTAGCTGAGTGGGGAGAGAAGACAAGCAGCTGTAATTTTTTGTTCTTCTTCCAGTGTGCTGACCAGGTATTGTAAGCAAAGATTACTTATATCAGTGCAGATACATGAACTTGTTTCTGCACAAGTCAATCACAGGTTTTAGTCAGCACAAGTTCCCCTGGAAAACTGTGTCAGACAATGTGTCCTAGTGAATCAGATTCTCTTCCAGTTTTAGGAGAACTGAGATATTTGACCTCTTCCATCAAGTACTTGATCACAGTTTCCCTTAAGACTCCTTAAGTGGTAGAACACAATTCCTACTTGCCCTGATTCTAGGCATCCCCCCTTCAGGCTTCAGCTCTCCCGTGTTTTATATGAGCTTGTGCATTCTCAGTGAGAGCCTTCAAATGGGAGATAGTCACAGGCAGAAACATCTCTCCTTAGGAAAGTGCAATGTTAAAAGGACTATAGCAAAATCAAATTTATTAAATGCATCTCCAGTTCTTTCTTGCCAAACACAGGCAGGACACCTTCTTCTTCAGTCATCCCAGCTATCTTGCCAAGACAACTACAGGTTCATTAGCATGTGTGTGCTTCCTGAACACGGGAAAAGCAGTGTTCTTGAATTGGATGTCTGACGCCCAATGCTGCAAACACCCAGGACTCTTTCAAGCAATGTGTGCTCTGTGTAGCAGAGGACACAGACCACCTTTTAAGATTAGGTCCTACATTAATAGCAGACCTTATAATGCATCATAGTCTATGATTACTTTTTGTCAGAACAAAATGCTAGAAGTGGCTTAATAAAGTCTGAATTTGCCCGGTTTCACGAAAAAGTGGTCCAAGACTGCTATTCACTTGATTAAATAATGTGGATGTGTGTCTGCACTTTTGCTGAACACTTCTGGGTCCATCAGAAAAATTCTTTCAAAGTATTAAGCCAGAACCATATTAAACACTTGAAATGCCATTAATCTCATCTAACTTTAGGGCATGATTCATCTGACTGATTTTAGACATTGAGGGAGAGATGTTATGACATCATTAAGAACACCTCATTCTTTCCACTGTCTGCAAATGGGGCCTGGAGTGACCAGCTCAGATGTAGATATATACCCACATTTGTCAAGATTATTTCAATCCAGCCCTCTCCTATAAACATATTAATGTAACCTCACTTTTGTAAGATTATAATACAGAGTGACTCTATAGTGAAGTAGTCCCATCAGCACCTGCTTCTTCCCTGCATCTTTGTCTCAATACAAAAGAATTACTTTGCATCATGAAAAAATAAAAATACAGAATGCATTTTTGCTTCTGAAAAATGAGACTGTGATGGGAACTATTTTACAGAAACCCATTTATTCCAGTCCTCCTATCTTTACTTCCCACAAGCACTGACAGATGTTTGCACACCTCACGTCATCTGACGAGAGACTGGCAGTTGCATAGCCCCTACAGCCACACTCAAACAACCTCCAGTTTGTTACAGTATTTTTCATACAAACACAAGCAGATAAGCCAGACATCTAAAGAGAAAGCCTTTTATTGGAAAACACTTTAGTTCAATTTTATTGATTTTAAGGGCTTAGATCGATGCACCTGAACTTTCGAACTTATCCTTCCAGAGTTGAGCTGCTGAATCTCCAAAGTTCACCCACTGCCTGCTTTACAGTCTCCCTCCATTTTCACTTTAGATAACTCTGTTTGCTCACAAAGGTAATTTAGGTAAGTTATGCACAGCTGGGATGCATAAATTGTGCATATCTGTGACATCTGCCAGTGAGAAAAACACTCCAAGTATGATACATATTTCAAGAATGAGTGAATTAGTTCAAAATCAAGCTGTCTGGGTCATAATTGAATCAGATCTCTGGAAACATATACAATATTTTAATGGCTTTCTCATAATTCAAACTATTAATATTTACTGGGCTGGATCATGAAACTATCTTAGTAACAAAGGAAGCATAATACTTTTATTATACTGATGATATCTTGCTAATGTTGCCTTGTTAAACAAGCCAAAATAAATTTATTCTAGTATTTTGTGTGGTTATGCCTGACTTGCTGCATTTATGTGCATGTAAAATAATTACTCATCAAACAAGTATTTTCATTTTCTGATTATTTTACTGGGCCTAGCCTTTTTGCTTTCTTCATGAATACAAAGCTATACATATGTTATCTAATTAATATACCCTCAAAAGACTGTGTTATCTCCTATGTGATAAAACAAGGTGTGTGTCTGTGCATTTACCTAAATACCAAGGCACTCCTTGTGGCTTCTTCAATTAAAAACAGAGGAAGAGGCTGAAGCATTAACTAAAGTGGAGAAAGGCAAAGCATGGATTTTTTTACTTCCCACCAAGTTCTCTTATCTCTGTGAAAGTAATGGGCACCAAGGCTCCCTCCTCTCTCTGGTTAGTTACACTTCAATAAGTAGCTCTGGGTGCTTTTTGTTACAGGCTGGATGGCGGACTGGACATGCAGAACCTTATCCCAAGTCTTGAGGGTCACCTATGAGAAATCAGCACATTATGGCTCAAACAGGAACTGTGGGAACCCTTCCAGCTTTCCAGCTGGACCAGGACAAGCTGCCTCTTGCAACTGTTCCTGTGGGGCAGTCTTTGGGGCCACGAGCAAAGCTCCAGAAGCTCGGGAACATGAACCACCTGCAGAACCACATGGCCTTCCCGGCAGCCTGCCATGCTTTTTGAGGACTGACTGGTACATGACATAAAAAATTAGGAATTGCTGTCCCCGCTGAATTTTTGTGCTTCAGTGCAAACTTAGTGTGCAGGGAGGAAAAGGGAGAGAACTGCTGGATCAGAACTGCACTGTACTGCAAAGTCTTTTTTTTTTTTTTTGAGTTAAGCTAAGGGATTGTGAGGCAGGTTCACTTACTATTATTAGTATCTGAAGGGAATAACACATCATTATTTTCTTTAATAAGTCGTGAAATGAAATTATAAACACTGAAAATTTTGTCTGCTGGAAAACCAATTTCTGACAGTGAGGGCTATCACTGTCCCCATGGAGATAAAGACTTGTTATTTCTTGGTACAAAAATGAGACAAATTCATGACTTAGAGAGCATAAAGGAGTTTTGCAGTAAGTGCTCCTGCACTAGCTCCTGGATTCATCTGGAGGATACTGCAGCTTTGTCCCTTCTAAACCAGTGAGAATCCTTCATTTTGTCTAACAAAATGTCCAGGTTTTTTGTAATAGATACATCTGCTTATAACACTTTTACTTAAAAATTTGCCACATAGATTGCTCTTGAAAGTACATGAAAATACCTCAGAAATAAAACTATGATCTTATACAGAACCAAACTTTTATGGCATTATTGTCCATGTGCCACCCATAGCAGTGACCTCTGGTTAAGTTTTATGAGTATTTTAATTGCCACTGGAGTTGATGGTAAGACACAAAGTCCTGCTGACTGCTTCAGAACCAAAGGCTGGGTACTGAAAGACATGGCTGCTGAATTCTTGCATTGCTCTGCATGTGTGTATATGCGCATGTGTGTTTAAGATGAGGAAGGCTTTGATGTATTGATTTTACAGCAGCTTTTTCTCTATTCTTAAATGAAGTGGAAAGAGGAGCAAATAGGCTGGTAAACAAAAGAAACAGAGCTATTATTATAACTGCCTGAGGTTTTATACTCCAAGCACAGAATCATAAGGAAGATTGGCTCTCGAGCCTATTTGTCGTGTATATACCCATGTGAAATCTCTGTGAAAACGTGGAACAGCCTGAAACCCAGCCAAAAGCCCACTCTGTCACCTACTGTTGCATTAAAGGTCAGGAAGAGTGCTTGCTTGCAGTCACTTAATAAAAGAATTCATTGATTTCCATGCCTCTCTCTGCAAAAATGGGACTGGAAAAGGCCTTTCCACCTGCACTGCTTAGGTCAGGGGTCCTCTTCCTTGGAGACTGCTAGAGCATGGCTGCAGACAAGGCTGTTCTGCTACAGTCACACTCCAGGTTTATTCCGGTAGTGGCACTGAGGGGGTGGGAAACCACATCACTCCCTCTCCTCTCCCTTTTTCTTCCCTTCCTTTCCCTCCCCAGGAAGTTGGTTGATGGCTCTGATTATGGAGCCTCCAGGAAAGTGGTCTTTGTCATAAAAGGCCAAAGTTCATCAACTTCCATTTACATCAGTAAACATGAACAATTCTTCCTGAGCCTGAGAAATCAATTCCCACAATCCATCAGCCAGTCGTGCTTTAAAGGACTGAATTGAAATGCCCCTTCTAATCTGCATCAGAGGAATAAAAACAATCCTATCGCATAATGTGTAAGGAGGGGAGGAGGGAGCAGTACTCACCATTGCACATGCACCGCACATTCCTGTAAAAGCGGGGGCACACAAAGCTGATTCGTGCCGTGCTATAGGTCATCAGGGAATGGGAATCAATAGATAGGCTTTGCTCACAGTGTTTTTCCTGACAATCCAGTCCGGAGCAATTCTTCTCCAAGATAGCAGAAATACGAATCACATTTTCCAAGTGTCTCCTTGCATTGGAAAGCTTCTGAATCAAATAGGCAGGCTTATAGAAACCACTGTTGTGCATCTGCACTGCAAACAGCATGTCGAGCTGGTTGCTGCCTGCCACCGGCTGGATGCTGATGATGTGCAAGCTGTCCTGTTTCTGGGAGAGCACTGCGTTTCGCAAGGTACGCCTGAACCCGTGCATGTGAAGGCCCACGAAGTCTTCTGGGGAAACATTCTCAAACCGGATGGTGACAGTGTTCTGCAGCATTTCCTGCAGCAATTGCTCAACGTGGACCACAACGTCGATGGGTACCTGGAACCGGCCGTCACTGACGGAGACATTCAGGATGTACTTGCCGTTATCAAGCCCTCCAAGGGCAATGATCTTCCCATCGTGGCTGTTGACCTTGAACAAACTTTTCTGCTCTGATTTTAGTGTATATGTGAGGACATCGTACACATCCTGATCTGTGGCATGAATTTTCCCAATGACTCCCCCAGGAAAATCATCTTCCATGGTGACAATGAAAATCTCCAGTGGGATGGCAGTCGGTTTGTGAATGCTCTCTTCAATGACCCTCACCTGAATGTAGGTATGGGAAACCTGCTGAGGCTTCCCAGAGTCTTTTGCCTAATGTAATTTAGAAAAAATAAGAAAACAAAAAACAAAACAAAACACACATATAACACAGCCAATGAGCACAACTTCTTGCTATACATATTTTCACAGGATCAGTAATTCTGAAGACATCTCAGAAGAACTTCCCAAACGTGTTCGCAAAAAACATATGTAAAGAAATGTCTCAGCCACTTCTAGCAATGGAACTTATAAACTCTTCAGGGAAGCACGGAAACCTCATCTAAGTGATTGCAGAGAGAAATGTGTCAGCAGAATGTCTCATTACTCAAACTGAAATGTTCCCAAGATCCCATAGCTATCACTTGTCCTCTTCTCAACCAAGCCATTTGTGTGTGGTATATTCTGTACAAAACAGAGTTTGGGCTCACTTCAACCCTGGAATAGAGACTGGAGCCCAGTGAAATACCAGCATCAGTTTCTGCATTGCTCTAAAGTGTTTCAGACCCTGCTTAGCTTGTGTGGATATGAGGGAGTTCAGATTTTTCTGCAGTGCTCTGTACTACTTTACCTGATGCAATCAAGAAACATGCTTGAAATAAAATTTATCACCATCCAAAAATGAAATAGGGTGCCTCTGCTGTTACCAGTGATAAAATTGGAGAGCAGCACTGCACTTGGACAAATGACTGTATGACCCAGAGCACATATGATAGCATCATTTGCACTTTAGAGAGATTAGAAGAGCAAGTATGACAAAAAACCTAAGGTCATCATGACAGATGGGGGTACAAACTGTCCATTCCAGCACTAAGAAAAATGTTTCATTGAAGTAACTAAAGATACACTGCCTCACATATTTACATGCTCCAGAGAACAGCAGAAGACTAAACTTCCACTGGTCAGAGCTGTACTACACATTCAAAATCTTTATATTTGGACATGGAGAGGAAAATCGACAAGTTGAAATTAATAATAATAATAATAATAATAATAAAAGACAGGATGACTACAGTAATATGGACATTACTAGGAAAGGATTAGTAAATCTAAGAACAAAAAATTAAAAAGTCATATATATGTGTGTGAACATACACACACACATGCACAGAGATTACATCCCATTCCACTTTCAGTTTTAACATTATATTTTAATAAACCTAACTCAGAGGAAGAACCTGATGGTAGAAAGGAGAAAGCAGAATTTTAGCACATACGAAGGCAAAGAAACATGTCTATGGTCTATACATAACAGGAAAATGTAAAACACGTTTTCACTGCAGAAATTTCTACAGAAAATAATACTGGAAGGAATTAGGCCTCCACAATCCAACAGTGTCATTTTCTGAACATGTTGGTGCATCTCAGACACTGTGGTCTGTCTAATATTTCATTTATCTGACATACTTGGATCTATACAGCTAGAGGACACTGCTTAAATTTAATTCTTATGCTCAGCTTTGGCTCTACTGAAACTCTGGCTAGCAAATTGCCCTGAAAATAAAGGTATTTTAGGATGAAGGCATGGTAAGAATGAAAGGTGAGAGTTTTTTATTTTCCTACAAGGCTCAAGGAACAGGTCTCAGGAATATTAAATGGCAAATTCATAAACCTTTACTTTCATTTGAACTGTTAACATCACAGATTCTATTTTTTCCAGTTGTAACTAACTGGGGATATTACTGATGTGAACACCATTAAATGTGCTTGTAAAGGACCTCACATACTGTATTTAGGGAAATAACCCCAGCAAAACAAGTGGAGGAAGCCTGCTTTTTAGACTTAGCTTACAGGGCCACATATCATTTCAGTGAAGACATGTAGTTCATTCCCTAGATTCGCATATTTACTGAACCCTACTACATTTTCTCTGGCAGGTCTGAGAAACATGGACAAATTACTTTTGGATTTACAGTTTTTGTAATGAAAACCACCCTGGTTACAAAGTTCCTCAACAATGACTCTAAAGCTAAGTCTGAGCTGGACTTCTATTGCATGTCTTATTTTCACATTCTGTAAGAGCTAAATTGACCTTGGAAATGTGATTTCATGAATTCTTGGTAGGCTTCCAAAAATTTATGATTAAATTTATGACTTAAAAGCAGAAGTGATTTTCCTTCCTAGAACAATATTTTGCTGTCACTTGTTCTGTGGTGCACTTGTATGTGTATAATGTGTTTTTGCTTATTTCCTTGCTTAGCTACAGAAAAAAAAAAGAGATGAGATTCTTAAATCATAATGGCCACTGCTCAGAAAATCCATTTCATGTGGAGAAAATTGAAAAGGTGGCTGGCTACCTATTTATATGAAATTAGGTTTAAGGACATCAAAGGAAACATACCACACTGTGCACCTGTAAACTGGAATGTGTGGCATTTACTCATAGAATACAATCAATTAAAACCAATCCATACAGGCAATGTACAGATGATCTATCAATACAAGAGGTTTTATTTCCATGCATATGCAAAAATCCAGCCTTACCTGCACACAGAGCACATATTCAGTTGCAACCATGTGCTTGAAGATGACTGCAGATCTCAAGATGCCATGAGGGTCCAGTGTGAACTCCTCCTCTTCATTGCCAGTGAGGATGGTGAAGGTAAAAGGGGGGCCATTGTGAAAAGAGTCTTTGTCTGTCACTACCAGCTGCAAAATGCTTGTGCCCACTGGTTTATTTTCCTTTACACATATACAGTGTATAAAGAAAAGGATTAATATGATACATCTCACAATCATAAAATGCCATGTTTTGCTATTGAGAATATTCAACTAAATGCTCTTTGCCCAAGGCAGTACTTCACAAGCACTGTTTATTCGACACCACTTATGGCCTAAGGACAGGTAGCAGAGATGGAGGCACCCACCACACCTTCAGGGTCCGATGACGTCCTCCTCACACTCTGTCTGATCAGGACTGATCAACCATCAAGACCCACACCCTGAGCAAGGCTTAAAGAAGTGCAAACTTATCCCAGCTTAAACGTTTTGTGGCTAGAGTACCTGGCTCAACAGGGATGAATGGTAAAATGTGTGATGGATGCTGAGGTTAAGGTGCCTCAGAAAACAGAAACTCACCAAAGACTTATGGAAGACTTATCATCAGACATTGGAACAGGCTGCCCAGGGAGGTGGTTGACTCACCATCCCTGGATGTACCTAAGGATTGTTTGGATGTGGTGTTGGTGGATGTAGTTTACGGGAGAACTTTGTAGAGTAGGGATGATGGTTGGACTCGGTGATCACAAGGGTCTCCAACCTGAATAATTCTATGATTCTATGTTTATACTTTTCTTTAAATACAGCTTTTGCAGATAAATCCTCAAAAGCTGGTTAACTGAAACCAAACATTTCAGAAGTCAGAGAAGTTTTTGATGTGCAGGATAAACTTACTTGAATTACAGCTGTATAGTTAGCTGGAGTAAATACAGGACTATTATCATTCACATCGGAAACATCCACGTTGACTGTTGCAGAAGAAGACAAAGGAGGGGTGCCACTGTCTCTTGCCTCGATAACTAATGAATAACCAGATATCTGCAAAAAGGTGAAAACATTGAACCACCATGAAAGTGGTCCTACATTTTAATTCATGTTCTTTACATCCAGTGTACCACCTACCATATTCTAAGGTGAACTGTTCGGCCTCATTACCTTTCCTGCCCTTAGTACATTATCCTATTTATTACCACACTGTGTCTCAACTTCTGTCATATAAGGCTATCAATAAACATAACAGCTTCACTGCATTAAAATAACTGTATCAGATGACGCATTCCTCAAACAAAGGGGCAGAGAAAAAAAAAAGACCGATAATAACCAATCTCAGCCATTTTCAAATGTTCAGCAAACATTTTCATCTCTCCTAGGTGTCAGATGGGATATGTGACCTGATTCTATTTATCTTACAGTTGGTTTCCAGGATATCATACAAATTGCTTGTTAGAGCCAACCTCAGTGTGACACACAGTGTTTCTAATGTGGTGATGGAGAACCAAGAAAAAGTTCACAGGCATTTGGCTTAAACACAGTGAAAAACATTTGGGACTACTAGGGACAACAGTTTGTGTAGCAACAGGGTATTATCTACCATTCAGTAGAAGATCAGGGTTTTCTAAGCCTACTTGTTTGCAACAGGCACAAACTAGTCAGCACAGTGTGGGCAGTTCAGTGCATCACCCATGGGCCCTCAACACACATATGTGCTTGTGTGTGAGGTGTGACAAAAACTCTCTCTATACACAGCTTATGGATGACAGTTTGATTTTATGAACTAGAGCCTTACGTTGGCCTTCTTACATCTTGCAACTTCTTTTTACTGTACCTGAGGAGAGCTGCTGACATGTCTGCCTATGGATCCTGCTAAAGGAGTAAGCAAAGGGCCACACATGTGCCAGATAAAATACCCTGCTCCAGCCTCTTGGTGCAGGGCTGGGGAGGGGGAAAGCACACTCTGCAGAGGGGAACAACATCATGATAAAGGGGCTTTTTCAGGGTGGGAGGAAATGCAAAGCCATTTGAAAAATAAAAGCCATTTGGGTAGGAATATAGGCTAAGTGTATGAAATAAAGTGATTCTTCTGGGGTGTGGGACCAACCTAAAGAAAAAGAAAACAGCTGGTTGTTTTTTTGGGGGGGATGTGTAAGGGGAAGAAAGACTGTGATTTGGTAGGGGCACAGTGACACAGGAGGGAGGAATAATCCTGAAATATTGGAAAGTCAAGAAACTAAGGTTGAACGAGTTTTCTCTTTCAAGCTGTAATTTTGACTACTAGCTAAAGAAAAGACTGACAGTTTTGTAGGACCTTTTCCAGAATTCTACATTTCATTGTATCCCAGAAAGGTATATGGCAAAAATCATTGTTTCAATGTGATTACAGCTCTGGAAATAAGTTCCCTTAAACCACAGTCAGCATTGCCTTTGGAGATCTACAGCAGATGGGGCATCATGTATCATTTTCCCTAAAGGGGTCAGAAACACCTGTGTCTAGGAAATACGCCAAGGAAGGAAATAAAAAGACAGTATTGCAGGTTATTTTAACCAAGGGAAACTCTGGAAAATGCATATATATCTAACACAGCTGGCACCGAACAGTCACTCTGCCATCAAACACTGACAATCTAATCCTGCCTTTGCGATAATACAAAAATGATATTTACCGCTGTTTTAAGTAGCAGCCCTGCTTCCAGTAGAGAGCTTTTCCAGCTGAGCCTATGTTCTGAGGACAGCAACCAGCTTCCCCAGTTTCGTGGATGTGCTGCTCAGAAGCAGGGGTTTCTTTATGTGCTGCAAGACTTCTGAAGCCATGTAGCGCTCTCCTTCCCTGCTAGTAGCACAGACAACTGCATTTGTTTGGTTTGTTGTGTTGTTTGGTTTTTTTTCCCAACAGCTGCAAATTGCTAGCTATGGCAAAATGGTGATCAATCACCCCGAATGAATAATCTAGTGAGCAAACAAAGCAGCAGATTCTGTTTAATGAAGCACTCTTTCACTTTTGGTACAGCCTGGCCACTTCATAACATCACCTCCCCAGTGACATGTTTTGCAGAGTGCTAATTAATGGCTGAGGTCTCAGCTCAGTGCTTGGTCCCATGATCTGGAGCATGTTGCAATCACTCTGCTGCACACACTGCTGCACATGTGTGCTCATATGCGCAGGAGAGAGGAGGCAGCTCATTAGCACAGTAACAGCTGCCAGCGGCACCACAAGAGACATGCAGGGTTGCTTTTTTTCCCCAATCTGGCCTCAGCTGCTGTGTTGGTGCAGGATGGGAATGCTACCAGAGCAGGTGGTTTGTAGATAGGACTGGGGTTTGGAGTGGGGTGGGAAGAAGTGGAACAACATTAGAAAGACTTCTTGGAGCAGCTCAGACTGATCGTTGCAGAATATAAAAGATGGTTGTCAAAACAAGGTAGCAGCAGAGTTGAGATCAATACACACCTATAAGTTATTGTAAGTTAAGAAGTCCCATGTCTTACCCTTTCTCTATCCAATTTCTTTTTAACCTTCACAAGTCCTGAAAGAGGATCAACTGAAAATTCATTGTCTCGGTCTCCAGTCACTATGGAAAAATGAATCTGGCCATTGGAAGGACTGTCCAGATCTTCTGCAATCAACTTTTTTTGAGAGAAAAGTGAGAATTAGCAAAACAAATATTAAGCAATCTGTATGACACATTAATTGCTCAACATCCCAAAAAGTACATCTTCATATTCCAACAGACTCAACTGCACACACAAATGGCATCAAGCCAATCAGTTTTTGAGAGAAGGCTCCCCTTGGACCTTTTTTTGCAGCCTTAGAACAGTACTTTAATCTTAATATTCCATATAACACTTTCTTTCTGGATCCACAAGTTCCAAGAAAACAGTATTGTGAGGTTTGGGGGATGGCACACTGTGTGCCAGACTACACAAATACTATGTTTTTCACTGAAAAGTTGAATTCTGCCTTTGCAATAAAACCGTTTTTTCTAGCTGACTCCTGAAATGCAATGTCTTAAACATGCCATTACTCCTTGACAGCACAATAGGGTTAAAAAGAAACAGTCAGTACTACTAATACTACCTTCTTTTGAGGGGGAAACTGGCCGCAGCCTGGAAAGCAGTAGCAGACGGGGAGTATTGTTGAGAGAACAGCTTGGGTGATTCAAGATGCAGTAGTTACCATTATGACCCAGTGCAGCAGTATTTTATTAAAGTTCTTGTGGCAGAGGGCTTCATCCTGCCTAAATGCTGCCCACAGCCTCACTCACCATCACCACCGAGTCCCCGACAGCAGCGTCCTCGCTGATGACGGCGCTGTAGACCAACTGGCTGAATTTCGGTGCATTGTCATTAACATCTGTCACGTTGATGTTGACAGTCGTAACAGCGCTCAGGGCTGGAGTACCTCCATCTTTTGCTTCCACTACTAAGTAGAAATCCTTACACGATTCATAATCCAAAGCTTCAAAAATAGAAATCGCCCCTGTGAAGCAAGGGAGGGAATGTCAACAGCTGGGGGAAAACAAATAATGCTATGGACTAAGGGATTTGACGTAGTCAACAGTCAGTACAGGATGCTATTTATCAGCATGGCACACATACAAAATATGCTGTTCTAACTGTAACGCTGCCTAATCCAATAAAAATATTGTTCAGGTTTCTACTGCTGTCATTTGATTGAACAATGCCAATTACACTTGGGTTGTCTCTGCAGAAAGGACCTTCACAAGGCATGAAGCAATGAACGGTTTCTCGTGGAAAGAGCTTTCATTATATCAGTATTGTAGACAGAGAAGTAGGGGACATATCCACCCATTTGTCTGGACTCATGAACAGAGCCTGTGGGAGAAATGGATGCCAACTCTGGAAATCAGTCCTGACAAGTCAACAGAAATTAACTCCTACATAATTAACTCCTCATGAATTAAATACAAATGACTGGAGTATGAATACCTTTGAGGAATCAGCTGTCTATAATTTATGTGATTAAACAGGGACTTCCTCACTCAACTGGGATTTAAATTTTGGGTTCTCTTACCACACAGTCAAAACTCTTATTCTCTGTAACTTGACTCAGTTTTTGCACTTAGACCCCCTCTAGGATACAAATGATTTTTATGCAAGCCCTCATTTCCCATGTACCCATTATCTTAAGTGATGAGTGGGCTATGCACAGATTAGTAGTGACGCCATGAAGGAGGTAACACTGGGCATGGCAGGAATGACAAATCCCTAACCTTGGCAAGCCTAAACCTTTTCAATATAGACTCATCATGTATGGAGCTTAAAGGTCATTTAGTCCAACTACTCCCCAGCACAGGTTAGCTAAACCTAATAATTCCTGAAGTTACTAATCTCTAATGTTCTTATAAACCTCCAACAACATCAGTTTCCTAACCTTCTTAGGAGATGTATTTCAGTACTTAGTAATCATTACAGTTAGGAATTTCTTCCTATCAATTTATACAAAATAATCCAAATGCAATTTAAGCCCATTCACAACTTCTTTTCTCATGACTGGTCATGGAGAAAAGTTTATTCCTCTCCTCTTCATAGGTACTTTCTACAGGCTTGAATACTAACAGCATGTCTTCTTTTCTAGCTTAAATAGCCTCAATTCCCTCACTCTGTTCTGGTAAGCCTCATTTTAGACCTTGGATGATCCTTCTTAACCTCATCTGTACTCTCTCCAAATGAACCCTACATTTCAGCATGAGTTGCTGGAAGCAGTAGCCCTGAAGAGAAGCTTACAAGTGCCTATCAGAGAGAGTTCCCACTGATAAATGGTGTGAAGGGCATTATTTTTCAAGCCCTGATCAGGCATGCTACATCAGCACCCGGTTGTCTGGAAACTGAGCTCCTGCCTCTAAACCAATAATAATGGAGCTGTCACACATTAATGAATAATAAATAGTTTGAGGGTTTTTTTTCCTGTGTGATTAAGCTTCATTATGGGTTTTTATTGATTTATATCCCCATTTTCTTTGTCAAATGTGAAGTTAAGTATCGCTGTCTAGGCATATTTATGCTTAAATTTTGTTAGCACTAATCAACATTATGAAGTTAACAGACAACACACAATTATATGAAGTCCCTTACAGTGTAAGGCAGTAGCCTCTGCAGAACGGAGACAGATTTTTGCACACAGAAATAGAAATTACACAATGCATCGTTTTGAGATTCTCCAGGTTACTGGTTATTACAGCTGCCCTCAAACAAGTGTTTACCTTCAGCTTTCAGAATCAAAACTGTTTTGCTCTGAAGCTCTAGTGGCAGATTTGTACTGGTCATCCTGAATGTTGTGAAAATAAAGGGATCCACTACAGAAAGCACAAAAGAATCACAGCTTACTGTTGAGAGGTTAATACCTCGATACGGTTAAATAATGTATCCCACTAGGGAAATTCAAAGAAAATGAACCTTTGGCACCAAATAAGGAAGCACAGTTGTATAAACAGCAATCACGTTAGGCTTGCCAGCTGCTTGGTCCTGACAGCACTGCCTGATGCTTGCTAAGGTCCCGACATTTGAGGGTGCACTCAGCTGGTAAGTAGGTAAGCATTTAAAGTGTTCATAACTATAAAGGTTGCACAGTTTGGCTAAAGAGTGTCATATCTACATTGCCTTTAACAGAAATAATAATGGCAAAAAGTATTCTTCACTTGAGCTGGGGCAGCTGAGTGTGACTGTAATTTACATCACCCTCCAACCTAAAACTGGTTTTTAACTGTGCAACTAATACCACATTGACAAGCTCTCAGTTTCTCGGAAATTTTTTTGTCCAAGCGCTTTCCCCAAAGCATCCACCTTTTTCTGATGCTTTAATTTTGCATTCCAAATAAGAACCATTTTACAAACCTGTTTTTGAGTTAATCCTGAACTTCCCTTTCTCATTCCCTGATCTGATGAGATAGGCAATCTCAGCATTAGTACCAATGTCTTGGCTTGTAGCAAAAACAGAAAGGACCTCAGTGCCAGGTGAGGTGTCTTCAGGTACTGTAACAAGATAATCTCTTCTTTCGAACACAGGGGGATTGTCATTAATGTCTAGCACAGTAATGGTAACGGTGGCAAATGAGGACAAGGTCAGCACAATGCTCTGATCTGAGGCCTTTACAGTGATGTTATAGGAAGACTGAAGCTCTCTATCAAGTGGATGCTCCAAAATAATAATTCCTGAAGACCGGTCAACAGAGAAGTAACCATCTGCAGAGTCAGCCAGGGAATAGGTAACTTTTCTGTTCACACCTGAAAGAGAAGTAAATGTGAAAAGGGCAAGGAGAAATCAAGTAAACAACCACCTCTACGCAGCTATGGGAAACCCTAAGCAAAATCTGCTATCACACTGATCACTTGTATAGAGTTAGGAGTGCTGGTGGGTACGGTACTGACAGAAGTCTGGAAGATCAGGACATGCTCTTCTCACATGTTAGATCCCTGTGGATAAGTTAAGTTCCTTCCCTCATTATGGTACTTTTTTAAAAGATCACTTTGCAGAATTGCTATGTAATGAAACTTGAAAGCAGAATCCAAAGGTGGTCCTTGCCCAGAGAAGCTTACAATTGAATCAGATGAGACAGGCAGAATGCTGAAATTGGAAATGTCTCAGAGCGCATCTTGAAGGAATAGAAAAGTACATAAGGGAAAAATAAACCCATAAAAATACATAAAGAGGCACAGAATGTTCTTACTGCCAGCACTGCCTTGATTCCACTTTTGAGCAGCAAAATATTAAAATATGATACCTGTTAGACAAAAGCTGTATCAAAGAACTCCTGCCAGTTATGGACATTTTAGAAAGAAAATTCCCCCACTTCCCCAGTCTGAGAGCAAAAAATTGAGTTGTACAAAAGACACCCCTGAATTTCCCAACACATAACACCTATCCTCCCAGCTGCTGAATATGCAGATCTATGCTAAGGTTGTTGTCAGTAATAAGGCCTAAGGGGAAGGTACTGACTTAGTTGCTTGCCACACTACAGTGGGATAGTCATTTCAAATCTAATTAAAAGTGAACACAGCTACAACCTAAGTCAACTCCCTTGATGCTGGTTGATTTTGTGATTTGGTCCTGGGTGCTTCACGATGAGATTACAACTAAAACACAAAGATCCACTAAAATGGATGCCGTTAACATCTCTCACTTGAGCATTTGCTGTCCTTTTTGTTGGAGAACAGACTTTACAAGCCTGACATTAATCAGATGAACAAGAGCTACTAATCCCTTCTAGGCATATTTTGTTAATTTAAAATTTGTGACAGCATTATTCTACTTTCCAGCAGCAAAGCGTTGTAGAAACTGATCAAAAGCAGCACAAATCACAGTTGTTTTCTGCTTGACGTAGCAGGAGTAGAGCATCCACACAAGGGGGGGCTGGGAGAGTCTTCAATCACACACACATAAAAGCTAAAGCAACTACAAAATCCCAGACATTATTTGGAGGGCGTTAGGAATTATTATTTGGCCTCTTCAGGGAATAAGGTTTTTATACAGTGCTTGAGACACCGGAGTGTATTTCAAACATTCGAACGTCTTTCAAATAAGGAAAATTTAAAATGGCAATAGTCTAAATGAACCAGGTCTATTTTTGGTTTTATTTTATCACAGCAGAACCTCTCTATTCTCAATGGCATCTCTAATGTGAAAAATACAGAGGCCCTCCTTGAGCAAAACAGGTGAGGCAGCTGAGGAGGTGTCTCCTGTCCTACACACAAGAAACTGAGCTCAGCCCACAAACTAGTTGGAGACTTGAATTTCATGTGTGGAAACACTGAGACTGAACACCCTACAGCCTGCTGGAGAGCATGCTCACCTCTTCACTTAGCCTCTTTAAACATGCATTCAAATGCTCTCTCAGCTGATGATGAATCATACTGACAAAAGTGAAAAAGGAATAAAACCCGCTGGAAAGTGGAAAATTTTGAGGGTCTTAATGGTGCTAGGGGTGTCTACATTTCTAGCAGGGGAGGACCTCCTTCAGTGATAAATCCTCTCAAAAATTCCACTTACAAAAAGGGACAGAACTGACTAGAACAATTAGTAAGTGAGTAACTAGAGCTGATCCCTGGGAATGCCAGATGAAGGGATTTTGCCTGATTCAGAGTGTGTAATTGAATATCCAACCTACACGAGTTTTACCTGTAAAGCTTAGTATTCTATACTAGGGTCTCTTGACGTCTGCCACTTTCTACATAGAATTCGATACTTCTCTGCAGCAGAGACATTAACACACACTTTCCACACATATGTGTCTGTGACTGCAGGAAAGTCTTAGTCTTGTTCGGATTTTTCTTTGGCACAAAACCCGTAAGTGATACTCACCCCAACATACCTCGGCACAACACAGAAGATTCAGGTACCAGGCTCTTTAAAGACATAAATAGATAGAAAGGAGATGGCCTACCTATGACTTGTGTCTTGAAACACAGCAAAACTTCATCAAGAATATCTTTTAAGTGGGAGTGGGGAGAGAGAGAATGTGGTGCAGGTACAGGTGCAGGGTGAGTTTAGACACAAGAAGTGATAATTGATGACAGCAATCAGAGCATTCTCCTTGTATTCTGGTTCCTAAAGGTGACGCCCATTGATTAATAAAACATGGTTTTGGGTAAGTGATTGCTAGTCATCCTACAATGGAGATTATTCAGATAGAGATTATGGCGTTCTGGTTCCTAACTCTAATATAAAGGATTTTCAGGCAGAAATGGACAGAGTTACTTCTTGAAGGCAAGTACTTACTATTTTTTTTCCTGAACACAAGAGAGGAATACAGAAATTCCAGAGATAGGGCTACCATCTGCTGAGAGAGAAGCTTCCACCTGTGTGTGTGAATGGCATCCCTGCCGTGGATGCAATGGCAAATTCTGCTGTGACTATAAAGGAGATACTTTCTGTGGAAAGGAAACAACTGCTCTAACACCATGGTTCCTGCACTGGTAAAGAGAGCAATCCTCCCACATTGCTTGCCCACAGCTGCTGGGGGATTAATGTTTGCAAACTGTGTTTTATCTATTCACCTACTCACTTCAACTTCTCAGATTTCTAAGGTGCCAATCACAAACATAAGCTATTTGAACATGGAAAGGTTTGCAGGAATTACTATGACTGTAAGAGGATTGCAGTACACTTTTAAAATAAAGGAATAAGCAAACATATTTTCTATTTAGACTTGTATTAGCCTATGACAGAATATTGCCCTCTGTCAAATCTTTTCTGCAAAGTTAGTACAACTCACATTTGTCTAGTACCTCAAATGCCATGCCTCAAAGAGGATTTTTTTCTTGTTTTCTTCTGCACTAAAACAAAGGGGCATTGTCTGTGATGAGAGGAGACATCATTGCTCTCTACAACTACCTGAAAGGACGTTGTAAAGAGGTAGACATTGGTCTCTTCTCACAAGTAACTGGTGATGGAACAAGAGGAAATGGCCTCAAGCTGCACTATGGGAGATTTAGACTAGACATGAGGAAGAACTTTTTCACTGAAAGGGTTGTCAGGCATTGGAACAGGCTGCCCAGGGAGGTGGTTGAGTCACCATCCCTGGATGTGTTTAAAAGTCATCTAGATGTGGTGCTTGGAGATATGACTTAGTACTGGACTTGGTAGAGTGGGATTAATTGTTGGTTTTTTCCAACCCAAGTGATTATATGATTCTATAATTACTACTTTCAATAGCACCAGGGAAATGGTATAGTTTGTCTTTATAATTCAGGAGTACCAAATTCTTCCTTGCCTAATTTGGAATCATATAATAATTTATGTTGGAAAGGATTTTTAAGATCATGTCACACCACTAACCCAGCACTGCCAAATCCACCACTAGACCACATCCATAAGCACCACATCTAGATGTCTTTTGAATGCTTCCAGGGATGGTAGCTCCACCACGTCCCTGGGCAGCCTGTTCCAATGCCTCACTACTCTTTGAGTGACAAAATTTTTCCTAATATCAAATCTAAACTTCCCTTGACACAACCTAAGGCTATTTCCTCTTGTCCTATCACTTCCTGCTAGGGAGAAGAGGCCAACCCCCACTTTGCTACAACCTCCTTTCATGTAGTTGTAGAGACCCATGCAGTCTCGTCTCAGACTCCTTTTCTCCAGGCTGAACTACCCCAGTTCCCTCAACTGCTCCTAGTAAGATTTGTGCTCCAAACCCTTCACCAGCTTCATGGCTCTTCTTTGGACATACTTGAGCACCTTGATGTGTCTCTTGTAGGAAGGGACTCAAAACTGAACAAAGGGCTCATGGTGTATCTCAGTTGAAAAAGGTGGAGTTACAGCTCTGTTTAGTTCACACCAACACCAATTAAAAGGCTGATCATTGGCACAATACTCACAATCTCCAGGTGACAGTGAGTTTCTGCAGTGGGCATTGCCATTTCCCATTGGGAAAAGTATTTCATTATAGTCACACTAAAACTGAAATGTACACACATTAAAGACCATACACAGTGTGTTTCTCCCTTCTGTTTTTGTCTGCCACCCTGAACTCATTATTTGTGTTCCCCAAGTACAGTTATCCTACTTGTTTATCTCTGGAAAATGATGCTTAACTTTCTCATCTGCTCATTTTCATTTTGAAAACCTACAGAAAGAAAAATAATGGCAAGCATTAAAAATAAATGAATAAGAAGCAAAACAGAAAACTGTCCAGAAAGTGAGCTGTAAGAAAAGGGTTTTATCAATTTAGCATTGATTTGCAAGCATGGCATCTGTGCTTCCTCTTGCCTCTGTCTTTCATGGTGTGTCTATTAACACCAGCATGTACCTATTGGCCTTTCCTGATTACCCAAACATTAACCACAGCAACAGTTATTGGAAGTTAAAAGTCCACAACTTCATTAACAATAAACAAGACAAAAGAGGAATAATAAACTGTATTTTATAATACTCCATCATTTTAAGACGAAAGAGAAAAAAATTGCCCAAAGTACTTTGCTGAACTGTAGAAGCCCCACAGGGAATGATATATCAAGTGTTTTTTTTATGACTTAAGCAGAAGAGCTGGCCAAGTTCAATTCATAACACTGCTACTGACACAGGTCTTCACTGTTTTGTCCCTTTTCTTTGAGGCAACAATGGCCTTAACCCCAAAGGCCTTTAGTCACACCAGAGCTCCAGTGGAGTCAGGGGACCATGGGATGAAGGCAAGGCCACAGAGAACAGAGATGAAGAAAACTAGCTCCTTACTGAAGGGAAATACTGGATTGAAATGGCAAGTATAAGATTTTAGGGTTTATGGTAC